AATGCTTATGAAGCCCTGGGTGAAGAGTGCATCCCATCCCACCCCAAGGATGATACTGGGTCATCCTTGGGGTGGCTCTTGATGGCCTAAGGGCTGGGTCCTTTGCACTGGAGCTGATAATTCCCACCAACACCTGAGGGGCCGTGAGGTGCCACGTGAAGAAATGCTGGAATTTGTTTACATCGACTTTTCTACAGAAGCCCTAGGAATTTAAGCACACAAACTATGCTGGGAGGATGTTAAGGCTGCAAAGTCAAATACCCCCAAATGCCCCAATTGAGATCACCTGCACAACCCTGCTTGTGCTGTGTTGTGCATATGCGTTATGATATGATCTTTAATTATGTGATCACAAACGTGTTTGCCTTGGATCCCTGCCTTGTTCGCCGTCTAAATTAACTTCTGACTCAAAAACAACAGCAAGAACCTGCCCCAGTGTGTGGCTGAGCTACGATCTGTTTGAATGGATTAACGAGCTTGTAAATCTGCAAACAGGATTAGAGACGAGAGCACCTTTATTGAGACATCTGGCTCACTGTTGGGATTGCAGCAGAGTGCTTTCAACGCGGTGCGGGAGAACATGTGTGCCTGTGTGGGGAGGAGACCCTCTCATAGCACGCTCTCCCCTGCAATTTTGGGCTTGCTGCTTCTTTCTCAAATCCACTGGCCTGAGCTAAATTGCAAGCACAAACTTCTTGTCAGAGACAGTGTAGCTCCTCTAGGAGCTACTGCAGAGATGTATTGCCCATGCAGAGACAGAGTTTCTTTAAAGTTTAGTAAAGCTTAAGCAGGTGAAAACAGATCGAGCATTTGCATTAATATGCGTGTGTGGTATTTGGGTACAGCATCGCTTCTCTTTCTGGAGGGCAGACAACTTCCTGGGTGAGGAGACTGGGTGGCAGAAGAGGACACGAGGGTATGGAGAGACCCTGGTGAGTGTGGTGTGAAGCGTGCGCGCCCCGGGAGACCCCCAGAGAGCGGGGGGTCACTGCTGCTTGTGCGGGTGGATGGGGAGCCCCCAGTGAGAAATCAGCCGTGGAATTTGCAGGTCCTTTTGGAGCAGTTTGTTCTGCTGCACTTTGCTTTCACGATGTATACCTTTAAATAGGTATTAAAATCTTACATTTTTGTTTATTTGGTTGGTTTTTTTTTTTTTTGCATCTGTTTTGGAAGCTAACCGTGGTGTCACCTCTTGTTTCCTAAAAGAACGGCTTGTGCAGTGCACAAGGAAAGCCAAAGCGAGGGTCCCGTTAGAGTTAGCAGCATGAGATGTCCTGTGGCTGGTGCAAGCAGGAGAACGGAGGTGTGAGGAGGCAGTCTGGAGTCACTGAGGTCTGGCTGGCTGGGGGGTTTAGGACCTCTCCCTGGGCCCGGGGGGCGAGCTGCCTGCGCTGCGCTCGCCTCTGCGCTGGCACGGCGTTGCCCGTGCCGGCCGCGGCGGAGGGGCAGGTTCTGGGGGGGCAGGCGCCTCT